AAAAAAAAAAAAGATTTTTTTGTTTTCTGTTTTTTGTTTTTTTGAGTTGGAGTCTCACTCTGTCGCCCAGACTGGAGTGCAGTGGCACGTTCCCAGCTACCACAGCCTCGACCTGCTGGGCTCAGGTGATCCTTCTGTTTCAGTCTTCCAAGCAGCAGGAACTACAGGCACGTGCTACCATACCCAGCTAATTTTTTGATTTATTGTAGAGAAGAGGTCTCACCATGTTGCCCAGGCTGGTCTTGAACCCACGGGCTCAGGCAATCCTCTCACCTCGGCCTCCCAAAGTGCTGGGATTATAGGCTTGAGCCACTGTGTCTGGCCTGGATATAAGATTTTTAACATATATTTTGTAGCATCTTCCTGAATAACAATAATATTATCCAGTGTTAACTCTTTTGATATTGAGTCTATTTATTTAGGTATTTAGTTACTTTTTTTTTTTTTTTTTTTGAGTTTGAAGTCTCACTCTCTGTCGCCCAGGCTTGAGTGCAGTAGCATGCTCACAGTCACCACAGCCTTGACCTGCTGGGCTCAAGCAATCTTTTGCCTCAGCCTTCCAAGTAGCTGCAACTATAGGCATGTTCTACCATGCCCAGCTATTTTTTTTTTTATTATTTATTGTAGAGACAAGGTCTCACCATGTTGTTCAGGTTGGTTTCGAACCCCTGAGCTCAGGCAATCCTCTCACCTTGGCCTCCCAAAATGCTGGGATTACAGGCTTGAGCCACCACCCCCAGCCTCGTTACTTATTTCTTATATGAATTTACTCAATGACAGTGGAAGGAAATTGCCATTCACTGAGAAAAATAAAAAGTGGAACGTGTATACCTAACACTGAATTGTACAATGCATCTTTAAAATAAAAATTTTTTTAAAACCCAAAAAGCTATTAGGAATTTCAAAATTAAAGGGTGGCATAACTGCTTTATTTTTGTACAGTGAGAATGATATTGCCTACTTTATGGGATTCTTGTGAGACTATACTGCATTACAATGTTCAGTAAAGTGTCTATTACATAGTGGACGTTCATTAAGCGTCTATAAAATAAACTCAAAA